TTTTATTGATTTTTTACAGAGAGGAAGGGAGAGAGATAGATAGTTAGAAACATCGATGGGAGAGAAACATCGATCAGCTGCCTCCTGCACATCTCCCACTGGGGATGTGCCCGCAACCCAGGTACATGCCCTTGACCGGAATCGAACCTGGGACCTTTCAGTCCGTAGGCCGACGCTCTATCCACTGAGCCAAACCGGTTTCGGCTCGGGCCCTCTTCTGTTGGAGTCAGGGAAGGCTTGTTAGCAGAAGTAATGGAAGTCAAGGCCTGAAAGTTGAGCAGCTGCCAGCAGATGACCAGTATGGATAAGAGGATCCAGGTAGAGGGAAAGGAATATGAAAAGGTACAGAATTAAGAATATTGAAACAGAAAATTAAGGAATATATTAATAGTTACAGAAACTAATGACCAAAGTAATGATTGAAAGTCAGTAAGAAATAATGCTACAAATTGGCTTAAGAGGGTACCTTCAGGCTTTAAGGTAGATGCCATATTTTTTCAAAATTGGAACGGAAATTTGATTGTGGACATGGTAGAGGGATAGTAGGTTCTATAAATTGGCAAATGAAATAAAAGAATGAGCATGTGCATCTATTTTGCATTTTCACCTGTATTGCTTTAAGTTTATTGTAGGTAGTTTTTCCACCCATTTTTTTGGATAGTTGGCTAATTTCAAATTTTAGAATAATAGAAATACAAACGAGGAAGCTTTTGTTTGTGTTTTATAATTATTGAAATTATTTCATAGGAAATTCTTCTGTAAATATAAGATATTTATATTTGTATTTTATGAACCATAAGAAATAAGGGCTAATCTACGTATTCTGTGTGAACTCACTATTTTAGCATTTTTAAATGAAAATATAATATAGTAAATAAAGTGATTTACCATAAAAGTTTAAAAGTATTGTCGTCCTAGCTTCTCTTAATTTTCTTTCAATATTCAAAATAAAAACCTAGGTATGTAAAGTGTGAGTGTGTTTTATTTTTGAACACTGGGTTGGTGTGTGATTTGCCCTCCATTTAAGTGTTAGGATTGACTAAGTTTCAGAGCTGGTGCCCACAATTTCCCACAGAAGGTTTCCTGCATCTGCTGGCTGTTGCTGATAAGAATCCAGTGTTTAAGCCTTTTGTTTATCTGAGGAAATTCCTGTTAGGTGTGTGCACATTCCCCTTTGTTTTTGGTATTAGCTTTAGTGAACTGGCCATAAGAATCCTACACAACACTTATTTTAGCAAAGTCCTTTTGCAGATGGGGAATGCTTTCCTGCAAATAATTAACATGGGAATGAGCTAATCAGAACCTATTGATTACTATTCTATGTGAACCAGAAGATTTTCAAATAATGATATATTGCTTAATTGGTTTTTAAAAAATAACATTTGTGTACATTAATTAGACAGAAGGTATTTTACACTAGAAGTATATTTTTGGTAATTTGTAACATTTATTATAAATATGCCTGATTAAATTTGAAGAGACCTTTGAAGTGTATATTCATTGTAATAAATTAAACAATCAAAAGTTTTTATTTAGATATGTTTTTGTGGTATTTGAATGTTTTTCTTTTGTGATATTCACTATATCCAAAACCACAGGTATAATATGTTCAGTATTCAGAGGCTGAGATTTATGGTTTCAGTTAAATCACACCTGCTATTAAAGCCAAAATTGTTGTGCCCAAAATATTCCTGCAGCTGCATATTACTGTTTTCAACCAGGAAAGCTTTACAATGCCTCTTATCAGGAAATGGTTTTGGGAAAAGATAGTGACAAATTTTCTTATTTGTGTTAAAGAACAGTAAATAATATTTTCTGAACTATCACTTATGTCACCCTTTGTTTTTTTAATCACCTTTTAACTTTGAAATTTTGAAAAGTTGTTTTTGCAAGTTTGTTTAGGAAAATTTATGGTTTCTTAGCTAATCTGACTTAGAATAAGGTAGATTTATCACTTGTATAAATATTTATATAAAAATTTGAAGAAAATTTCATATATTTTTATCATAGGGAAGAAAATAGAGTGCTTTCATTGCTTTAAAACATTTTGATTCTTTAGACAGATTCCAACAAAACTAATTTCTCATTTCAGGCCTTTGAAGACCTCAGCAAGCTAATGGTCAAGGTATATGTCATTTATATCTATTAAATTCACACCAATTATGATGCAGTTTTGAAAATATATTTTGTTAGCAGACTCTTTGGGGACACTTCTTTCTTTTCACTCTTTTACTGTGCTCTTGACAGGCTAAAGAAATGGTGGAGTTATCAAAATCAATTGCTAATAAGATTAAAGACAAGCAAGGTGACATCACAGAAGATGAGGTAAATAGGTTGCTTTTTAAGGCATGAGAAACTACAGAAATAATGCAGTGATGTTTTAGTGGCTTACTAGATTGCTTTTTTAATGTGTTTTATTTCTTTTAGAACTTGAGGATATATGAAAGTGCTAAAAAAAGTCAGCCATAAAAACTGTTAATTTTAGTGAGATTATAGGATATTTCAATAGCTTTGCTTGCAGTGTATAAGACATATATTGAAATATGTAAGGAGTATCTATTTTATATATCATAAGTTTCATGTCTGTTTCATTAAATTTGTCTACAGTCTGGTCAAGCCATTTTTCTAAGTTCTCAGTTGTATCATTTGGTTGGCATTAACCATAGCATAGTTATTTAAATCACCTCTCACACCAAACTTGTGAAGTAAAGGGAGTGTGACATAGCAAGATGGAAGGAAGGATAATTAGATTTATGCAGGGAACTATGATAAGTAATTGAGTAGAATTGAATTTATGATGGAAGGATTTCGAATGTTGGGAGAGAATAATTCTGAATTGTCTTTTTGTGCACTTTTTCCTCTTATAGACCATCAGGTTTAAATCCTATTTGCTGAGCATGGGAATAGCTAACCCAGTTACCAGGGAAACCTACGGCTCAGGCACACAGTACCACATGCAGCTGGCTAAACAGCTGGCTGGAATATTGCAGGCACCTTTAGAGGTAAAAACAAAACCTACATGGTCTTTTTAATTTGTGTTGTTATTTCTGTGTAATCAGAAATCTTAATAAGAGCATAACTCCTTTCATGATGTGGTTACTGTTTAACCATCATGTTTTTTTTCTCTCAGGAATATTAAATTAGTTCAGTGTACTTATTAATGGATTCTTTGTCAGTAATCTTCTAAATTGTTTTTAATTTTCACTTAAGATATCTATAACTTTCTAAATCTAGTTGATATGAAGTTTTTCTTATCTCTTATTTTCAAAAGGAAATATATGATTTCTATATATTTAGCTTTTTTTGTATATCAGTAGTCAATATACAGGGTGGGGCAAAAGTAGGTTTACAGTTTGTATGGCAAATAATACAATAATTAATAAATAATAATACAGGAATAAACTGTTTCACATACAGCTACCTACTTTTGCCCCACCCTGTATATGTACTATTAATTTCATAAGATTTCTCTTCTAGTCTAACATTATTCAGGCAATCAAAACTTTACGTATTAAAGCACTTGCATTAAGAAATATTTCAAACATGAACAAATAGACTAATATAATGAATCCTTATGTGCCTATCATCTAGCTTCTTCTGTAAGCCAACCTCCACTCTGAATTACTATAAAGCAAATCCCTGACATCACAGCACTTTCATCTGTAAATATTTAAGTATGTAATTATGATAATAAACCTTGAAATGTAATTATAATCCCATTTTACACCTGAAAAGTTAAAAATAACTTTTTAATATTATTAAATATCTAGTTAGTTTTCACATTTTCTCTTACAAATGGTGTTTCAAATCAGAACACATTGCAATTGGTTGATTTGTCTTTCAAGTTTTTTTTAAATTCCATGTGTTTTCTTCTATCCCTCCCCCCATTTATTGATTAGAGAAATTAATAGTTTATCTGATAGAATTTCTCAGTCTGGATTTTGCTGACTTGTATGTTAACATCGTTCCCTGTAAACTGGTAGTTATATCTAGAAGTTCTTTTTTTTCTGATAATATTTCATAGAGGTTGTGTATTTTCATCAGGAGGTACATAATGTCTGATTGTCTTTTCTTTATGATGTTAGCAGCCATTGACAGTCATTATCCTCATTATTACTTTACTAGAGGCCCAGTGCACAAAATTCGTGCACTCAGGGTGGGCAGGGGCGGGGGTCCCTCAGCCCAGCCTGTGCTCTCTCACAGTCTGGGAGCCCCGCGATCGATCGACCCCACAAAGGGAGGCCCCACCCACCCACTGCAGTGCTGCCGCCGGGTAGCCTGGGCCTCCCTCTTTGGCGTGATGATCGCGGGGCTCTGCCATCGACTGCCCTAAAGAGGTAGGCCCTGCCCACCTGGCCCGGGCTCTGATATGGGTCACCCCCACAGAGGGAGGCCCTGCCCACCTGCCACAGCCTGCTGGTTGGTGGCCTGTGCCTCCCTCTTTGGGGAGATCATGGAGCCCCCCCATTGATCGATCTACCCACCGGCTGGTGTCCTGGTACTCCCTCTGTAGGGCGATCATGGGGCGATGGCCGGGCCCCTGACCAATCACATTGCACCTGCCTTGGCTTGCCTGGAGCCAGTGGGTGTCATAGCATGGTTGTCCGGAAGGTCATCTGGATGGTCGTTCTGCTGTTCGGTCGTTCGGTCAATTTGCATATTACACTTTTATTATTATAGCCTAGGAGTAGCTAAATGGAGATATTCTTACTCAGTTCTATAGTTTCTTTGTTTATTAGCTAGAATAACTTAAAACACTTTTGAAAAAAATACAAAAACCAAACAAACAAACAAACAAAAAAAACCACTTTTGAAACATGGTGGAGAGACACTTTTTTCATTTAAGTAAATGTGAAAAGAGTAATAATGACCTTAAAGTCTAGATATTGAATTTAAATGTCTCATGGTATCTGAGTAAGTTCTCCTGTGTGTAAATAGTATTTTTAAAAGCTTCTTAAGAAATTTTATGATTTCCAAATTCACTCTGATTATGTTTTCTAAGAAATGCTAATGTGCTAATTATAATATAATACTTTTAAAATTTTCATTATTTTAATAGGAACGAGGGGGTATAATGTCACTCACGGAGGTGTACTGTTTAGTAAACCGAGCTCGAGGAATGGAAGTAAGCATAGAATATTTAGATTTCTTTTTTTAAAAACTAAATATAGACTTTCTTAATATAATACAAATTTCCCTACAGTGAATACAATTTGAGGAAGGGTTGTGACTATCAAAACTATTTTGAGAAAAAGTATGGTGCAGTGAAAGAATACCACTCTGTGATCTAGGAGGTAGATTCTGTTCCTGGTTTTGCTGAGTGAACCTGAGTAGCTTACTTAACCTCTCAAACTGTTTTTCTACTCTTTCTACCCTTTGGACTGACTGACAGCTTTCAGCTCTAATAGTCTGTGTTTGTATTGTGATTAATAAGTTGGACATGATGCCCTTTCTCTGGGATAGTTAGCTGTTTGACTTAATTGGGTTGGATACAGAGTGCCTGTAGATAACAGAGGGAAAGCTGCCATGCTCCTTTGGCTGTGAATCAGCTGAGGCTATTTTTCAACTTTCATTGACCCTTCACACCCAGATGTCCTTGGCCTCGAAGGTTCTGTCCATACACTCCTTATGCCTTCACAGTCAAACATAGTTTTGTGGTATCAACAGTTTGCTCTGTCTTTCCAGCGTTCACCCCTGACCCACAAATTAAGCCTATGCTCTTTTTATTTGAATAGTCATAACTGCTATTGGTGAGTGCTTACTCTCCACCAAGCACTCTGCACGTTACCTCATTTATCCTCCCAATAACTCAGTGAGGCAGCTACTTTTATTATCCCAATCTGGTGGTAACCTGGGGTGAGGAAATTGAGGCTTAGAAAGATTAAATAATTTTACATAGGTTGCACCTGGAGACTGATTTGATAGGGATTTGGACCCAGGCTGGGTTGGCTCCATAGCTGTTCTGTGTGACTCAAAGCTGTGCTTGTCAACTACCACACTGGGCTCCACAGTCTGGAAGGGTAGCAACTAGCTAGCTACATGTGATGATTGTGAACTTAAAATGTAGTGAATCTAAATTGATGTAAGTGTAAATTACACACCTCATTTGGGAGACAGTACAGAATAAAGAAATCTTAAATATCTCATTAAAATTTTTTATATCGATTTTACAGGGTGGGGCAGAAGTAGGTTTACAGTTGTGAGTATGCAAAACGCAGTTTATTCTTATACTAGAGGCCCGGTGCACAAATTCATGCACCAGTGGGGTCCCTCGGCCTAGCCTGTGGGATTGGGCTGAAACTGGCTCTCTGACATCCCCCGAGGGGTCCTGGATTGTGAGAGGGTGCAGGCCAGGCCAAGGGACCCCACCAGTGCACGATTGGGGCTGGGGAGGAACTCGGGAGATTGGCCAGCTGGGGAGGGACTGCAGGAAGGCTCCAGGGCGTGTCCGGCCAGTCTCGCTCAGTCCCGATTGGCCAGACCTCAGCAGCAAGGTAACCTACCAGTCGGAGCGTCTGCTCCCTGGTGGTCAGTGCACATCATAGTGAGCAGTTGAGCGGCCTTAGCATATCATTAGCATATTATGCTTTGATTGGTTGACCGGATGACCGGACACTTAGCATATTAGGCTTTTATTATACAGGATTATTATTTATTAATTGTATTATTTTCCATTACGAACAACTGTAAACCTTTTGCCCCACTCTGTATACTGAATTTTTGATCTATTGGGTATATATGTGTTAAAATTAAATTCACCTGTTTCTTTTAATATGGCTACTAGAAAATTTAAAATGATATATATGACTTACATTCTGTTTCTATTGGCTAGCACTGCTTTAATGAATAGAAGTTTTTGCTTCTTTGTTAATTTTTTGTTTTGTAGTGATTAAGCCACCTAAAATTCTTGATAAATGATAATTTAAAAAATTTCTCTTCTGTTTTAGTGGTCGTTATAATTATATAGCATCACTCTATTAATTTGCAGTGTAAACTGGATTTTTTCCCCCCATTAGTTGCTCTCACCAGAAGATTTAGTGAATGCATGCAAGATGCTGGAAGCTCTGAAATTACCTCTCAGGTAAAAGAACCTCTGCAGGAAGTTTGCCAACTATAGCCACTATTCTGCACTAATTAGATAGGAAAGCCCTGCCAGGTCTGCCATCCTGTTGGGTGAGCCAACATTTTGCCCCTCTTGAAATTCTATGTTAACAGAATTCACTTGGCACCACAAGCACCTCTGTCATCCTGGCTTCCATCCTGCTCATGGCCCGAGGCGGGTAGTAATCCAACTCTTGTCGTTTTGGCGCAGTGAGATAAGAATGTGGGCTCTTCCCATGAGGTCAGGGTAACTAGCTCCTCTTCCCTTAGACTTTGTGTTTGTCTCTGGAGACCCAGAAGTACAAATGTTAAGCTGTGAATTATGTATTTTCCTTATCTTCATGGTTAAAAAAAATTAGCCATTAGAGATGTATTGCGTAGTGAATAATATTGTAATAACTATGTATGGTGCCAGGTGGGTACCAGAATTATCAGGTGATAACTTCATAAAGTATATAATTCTCTAATCACTACGTTGTACATCTGAAACTAATATGAAATAATATTGAATGTCAACTATAATTGGAAAACAAGAAAATTGAAAAAATAAATAGCCAGATATATATTTTTTTAGTATGTAGATGATAGTTTATTCATGAGCTTTATAGTTATGCCATGGTTGCTTGTGATTGTTAAGTTTCAAATGCTGTTTTGTGTTAATATTGCCTCATACCTGGGCATAAAAGGTGAATAATATTTGTGCCTCCTTAGTGGTTGAAGGTCCTAGATATTCACAGCTTTGTTCTCCCGCCTGCTGTTTTTAGGCTCCGAGTTTTTGACAGTGGCGTCATGGTAATTGAGCTTCTGTCCCACAAGGAAGAGGAAATGGTGGCCTCAGCCTTGGAGACAGTATGTGAACCCAGTTTCCTCTAGTCATTAGGGCTTGCTGTGAGGACCCAAATGTCTAGCAACTTGAGAAACAGGATTTCCTTTTGAACTTAACTTTACTAAAAAGTAATGTTCGTTGGCCCAGTTAAAAATGGTTTATCATTAACAATGAATAAATATTAATCATAGTTATTCTCTGAAAGCTTTTTTGAAATGTACTAACACTCAAAACATCTTACAAGAAAGGAGAATTAGAATTAATGAGGTGTTTTCTTTTTGTTTGAAGCTGTCTTGAGAACAGGTTTTTTAACTTTGTTAATCAGAATGTTATCCATGATAGAACTTTTACTCTTAGTAGCAATTACATAAGTAGCATTACAAATATCAAAAGCTGTTTTATGAAATAATTGTTTCAAAAATATGAAAAGCAAATGTAGTTTAGATAGATTTTATGGCCAAACTGCTATTACTCATCAGGGTACTTGAAATATTACTACCTTCATAGTCTCATTGGTGAGCCTGTATAATTTGAATAGCTTACATTTATTATACTTTTCAATTTAAACTAGATGAAAATACCTGAGACTATAGGTATTTTGACCACATACTTTAAACTACACCGATATATGAAGGTTCTTTATTGGATTGTGTAATATGAATTCAATTAGAATTTGTTATATGTTCCTTTTCAGAATATCAAATTTTTTTTAGATTTTAGTACAGTGCCTTGATCATATTATAGAGGGTTTTATGATATTTTAGCCTCTACTTTATTTGGTCTGAGTCCTTCTGCTTTTGTAGAATTAAACATTAGTGAAGACTTAGTTCTATAGTGGGTATTTTTTGGATTTTAGTAGAAAATTCAATAAGTTATTTCCTGAGTATAGCTAGTAGAAATTCTTTCTAGGTTAGTAACTAGGTGGTCTAAATTATGACATTTTATTTTGCTGTGTGTTTCTATTAGGTTTCAGAAAAGGGATCCCTAACATCAGAAGAGTTTGCCAAGCTTGTGGGAATGTCTGTCTTGCTGGCTAAAGAAAGGTAGGTAAGGTCCTTGTTCTTTGTTACAACTTGTGTTTCTGAATGGACAGGTGATTGTGGTTTTCTCCCTTGATTCCTAGGTTGCTTCTTGCAGAGAAGATGGGCCATCTTTGCCGAGACGACTCAGTGGAAGGCTTGCGGTTTTACCCAAATTTATTTATGACACAGAGCTAAGGGTTTTTTGTATTTGAAATACTTCTTATCCATGTACTTGCATCATGTAGAGGATGTATGATACTGAGCTAAGGGTAAACTCTGATAAACAGGATTCACTGGAACTGTAAAACCCTTTTAATTTCTTCCTAATATTATGGGGTAGGAAGTTGATTTAGGACGAATATAGGAAAATACAGAAAAATGAATGCCAATGGGAATTTAAAATCATGCTACAGTTATATAGAACCCTCATAGTTTAACTTGAAATATAGTGGATTTTAACTTGATCATCAAATCTAACCATTTTTAAGAAAGGGATTTAGTTCATGGGAGAAGAAAAAGAGAAGCTGCATGTTTAGACAGGTTAATTTGTTATTTTGGTGTGACTAAAAGTCACTGAATTATAAATAAGTGAAGTTTTTGTCCAGTCTGGGGGGTTTTTATGAAGCAAGTCCTACATTCAGTGTAGTTTAAGAACCTGACAACATTGGAACAAAATATCAAACTGCGGCGTGCCATAGGAGGCTCCTTCTAAGGGCTTTTATTAGAAACAGTCATAACATGTCTTCAACAGACAAAGCACCTTAAAAAAGGAGAGAATTGTATCTGACTCACATATATATTACCTGACTAGTTTTTTTTTTTAAGTGATGATTTCATGCCTGACATTTAAAGTATGCAACTATGTCATTTTGTTTAAAAAATGCTGTGGATCTTGAAACTGAATTAAAGAGCTGTACAGACATGCCCAGAGATATGATTACAAATCTGGGTAGTAGATGGCTCAGGAACATAAAAGTGGAAAAATAATATGTCTCCTTTTCTTTCCCTTTAAGGAGTTTCACACTGAACTTTAAAAATCTTCCTATCATATTCTAGCAATATTTTTTCTTTACCCCACACATAAGTTGTGTGGAGAAACTTTCCTGCTAAAAAGTATTACTGAGGTAACAAAAACTGGATAATGCTGAATTTAGATCGCTTGAGTGTTAAAGTGGACTCCCTGACTTTATATGTTCCTGCTATATAGCATACAATATGCTGGGATTACCTCAAACTCAGGGACCTGCAGGCACAGAGGAGACCCTCTTTCTGAGACTAAGTCAGAAGTGGAAGGCAGTGATGATTTCTGGCCAAGCCTCCAGAGGGGATAGTATCTGTGCTGAGGGAACCATTGAGACCAGGAGGAGGCAATACCCAGGTTCACACTCTCAGATGTTCTCAGTGAGGTAGGTGAGTGTCACTGCCAGAGGCTGCTACAGGTGCAGGGATCCTCAGCTGCAGACCCGGGGAATCCCTCCAAGTGCAGCCAGAGTCAGTCCCTGATTCCTCCCAGAAAAGTGGCTGTTGCTGCTTCACATCCTCCAGTGTCTTGGGAATGTTGTGCCTGAGGCATCCTTCCTTACTCTGCATTTTCCAAATCTGTCACTGATTCTAAATTGTGATGACAGATCCCCTAATTCCTTCATTGCTCAGCCTCAGGTTTGTTTTGGGGGAAATTCAGTGTCTGGCTGCCCAAGTCTTTCAGGCCATTGTGTAAGCTTGTTTGTACATAACTCCTCTTTGGACTGCACAGCTAAGATTGAGCTACTGGGATCTCGCTCTAATGCTGTGGATTCATTACAGCAAACTCGCATAATTCAGCATATTTATTTACATTAATGTGACAACACATTAACAAAAATGGAGCAATCTGAATTGTATACAGTGAACTAAAGAAGCAGTAAAGTGACATGAATATACTAGTATTTTGCAAAAAAAAAAATGTGATTGCTTTCACTGTTTTCATTATTTTTTTGTTGTTAATCTTTATATGAGGATATTTTTTCCATTGATTTTTTTTTTTTTTTTTTTTTTTAGAGAGAGAGTGGAAGGGAGAGAGGGTTGGGGGGTCGGGGGGAGAGACAGAGACATTGATTGGTTTTCTCTCACATGTGCCCTGAGCAGTCCGGGGATTGAACCTATGACCCTTTGGTGTGTGGGCCGATGCTCTTAATCACCGAGCCAAACCAGCCAGGGCAACATTGTTTAATTCTTAACGTGGGCATTCTTCACATTTTCCAGACCTCAGTATATATATTTTTCTTTTTTCAAATAAGGTGTTATTTTGGTCCTCTATTAGTAGAGGTTATGTTTAAATACAACCAATCAGGTCTTAAGTGCAAAAAAGTTCTGTCTTGGTGCTTATCACTGGTATAATTATTGTTTTTGCTTTCCTAACTTTGCTCTCAGGAGCATTAATCTGTTGGTAGCTTTACGATAATGGAATATTTCTAGTCACATACTGTCCAAAATTTTTTTACATTGTATAAGTGAAGATTGTTTTTGGGGTTAAATGATTGGTATTAATGTATATAGAATAAAGTTATTGCAAAATTAAAAAAATGATTTTTCTTAACTTAGTATCTTTTAAATACTCTTTGGAAAATAATCTGAAAATCATAAACCTTTAATCAGAATAAGCCAGTATGTTATAATTTGTTCTTCTAGATTTGTAATCAAGAGTTGATTATAAATATTTTTTACCTCAAGCTCTTACTATTTTAGTTGTTTTAAAAGAATGGCAAATGGCTCATGAAGTTTTTTAAAAAAATTCTTGATGTGAATTCCACTGTTGATTGACCAGGTGTATTCATGTGAATGTACTATATCTTGTTCCCTGTCACCAGACTAATATGGCCAGATGTGGATTCATCATGTCATTATTCTCATGCTCATCTACTTAAAATGATTCTCCTTTGCCCAATAATCTCAGAGTTTTCATCTTGGAGTAGTAGAGTCACATCTTATAGGGTGGTTAGATTTTAAAGACTGTACCTAAATATGAAATCGAACATGCTCAAAATGATCCTTGAAAATCTCTTAAATGCCAATAAAGTTCTACGTATAGTTTTACATTAGAATCCCTGTAGTGATACCTGGGTATGAGTATTTTATGAATATGGTAAGTATCCTATCTAATAAAAGAGAAACATGGTAATTAGCCGTACGGCCGCTACCCTTCCCATTGGCTAATCAGGGAGATATGCAAATTAACTGCCAGCCAAGATGGCGGCCGGCAGCCAGGCAGCTTAAAGCTAACAGGGAGGCTTGCTTGCTTCAGTGACGGAGGCCTCCAACGTTCCCCGCCTGCCGCTGCCGGCCTCTGAGCTTGCAGTTTGAAACATTGTAACAAATATAGAAGCTAAACAAAACCCCAGAAACCTGCTTTCAGTCAGCCGGGATCTCAGAGCTGGAGTCCCAACATTGTTTCGAATACAGAAGGTAAACAAAGGCCAGAAACCTGCTTTCAGCAGCTGAGCCTCAGAGAGAAAGCCGGCTCTCAGCTCCAGTGACAGCCATAGAAGGTAAATAAATGCCAGAAAAAAAAAAAAAATAAAAAGAAAAAAAGGAGAGGTTTGGAGCTTCAGTCGCCCGCCAGCCTGAAAACAGCCCTCAGCCCCTCACCCAGACTGGCCAGGCACCCCAGTGGGGACCCCCACCCTGAAGCAACAAGATGGCGGCTAATTTGCATACTGAAGGCAGGCGGCAGCAGGCAAGGCTGTCTGCGGTCTGGGACCCGGATCTGTGACCCGCCGGGCGGGGGACAGTGCTTGAGGCTGTCCGCGGTCTGGGACCTGGATCCATGTCCTCGCGGGTGGGGCGGCAGTGCTTGAGGCTGTCCGCGGTCCCAGGACCCATATCTGACCCTGCCAGGCGGGAGGCACCGCGGGAGGCTGTCCCCAGTCCAGGACCCAGATATGTGACCCTGCCGGACAGGGGGCACCGCGGGAGGCTGTCCGCAGTCCGGGACCCGGATCTGTGACCCTGCCGGGCGGAGGGCAGTGCTTGAGGCTGTCTGCGGTCCCGGGACCCGGATCTGTG